ACACACACACACACACACACACACACACACACACACACACACACACACACACACACACACACACGGAGAGGGAGGAGAGGTGTGTGCTGGTTGTGCACACGCCTAAAAATTGTTGTTCTACCACCTGNAAACAGTGGGAAAATGTGCTCGTATTTGCGTGCCAGTTAGTAGCCGTGCTGCTGCATTTGCACCATATGCAGCGAAGCAAGGGAGGATACACTTATCCCCTAATATATGGCATTACAATAATCCAAGCGGGAGGTGACGAAGGGATGGATTCCGTTTCAAAGAGGTCACTATTTAAAAAAGGCTTATTTTGTGCTAGCTGACCTGAAGCGGAAGAGCCTGTTTTAACAACTGCCTTGATCCAGCTTCAAGCTTGAGTCAGGGTCCATCTTCTATCCCAAGAGTGTGATGGTTAATGCGGCCCCCCCCCCCCTGGTGGAGTGACCAGGGTCCTTAGTCTATAGGAGTGTCCGAGGCACCAAAAACCATCACTTCGGGTTTGTCCTCATTAATTTTAAAAAGAATGCCAATGACTTAGGAGTGAATGTCTTCAATACAGTTTGATCTGGCGTTAAACCCAAAAACGAGTCATCGTTCTTTAGTCCATAAATTGGTAGCGATACCGTGCTTCCTAAAAAGGACCCAAGAGGGAGCAAACCCAGTGGGAGCAACAGACTCTATCACTGTGTCTTTGGCACATCATAAAGGAAGACAAACGAGGACCAGAGTCCAAGGCGAAGCAGAAGTCCCAAACCAGTCAGAAACGCAACCACGAGGGCTTTGTCCTAAGCCCACCCACTGCTCCTAGGCGAGCTATAAGGACCATGCCTACTGTTCAAAAGCGGCCGTAGAACAATGAGAAAGAGGAGGAGGCACACGGAGTCGATTCTAAATGAATATAAAAAAAACCAAAGAGGTTTGTCTGTGAAGTTTTTAACAGATGGAAGACCATGACTACTTTGGCACAATGAATGAACAAAAGAAGTCAAATAGTTCTCAACAAACGCTCCTAAGATTTGAACATAAAACGAATTTGGCAAATGGGCAAAAAGGATAGCAAAGAACGAGGGATCCAGATTTGTCGGTTTCTTATTGAATTGGAAAAAGCACAATGGAATGTTGAAGTTTTCCGTAAAGTCTGTGAGCAGACTGACTATTAAAACGTCAAGAACAAAACAATTGGGGAAAGATCATAAAAAAAATTTCGAGGAGCGACAGGGGATTGGAGAACCAGTTTTTTGGAGACAGCTCCTGCCACAGAGGACAGAGTCTAGCCCAACGGTCACAAAACAAGCAAGGTAGAGACAGGTCGTTTGAGGACAAGATTAGAGACCTAGTGAATTGGTCTTTATTGAATAACTTTGAAGAATAGTTACAGACCAGGAGCACACAGGTTTCTGTGGGGCATTAAGAGCGAACAGTCTGAAAAACAAGGTTGTGACAGTTTAAGGAATGTGTCCAGGAAGAAAAATCTTTTCTTTTTGGCCCTCTTTTACAGTTTTTTTTCTGATTAGAGACGCCAAACCTTTGCCTTCCAAGCATTTTTTTGAAAAAAAGAAAGACTTGGTAGTTTTCTGTTCCTTATTTTGGGCCAATTTCTTCTTTTTTTTTCAGATCTTACGTCATTTTTCACGTTTTCGGAAGGCCCGGAGTCGTTTGAACATTTTAAAGGCCAAAGGGGCTCGGGGGAAATTTAGTTTTTTGGGTTTTTTGCCTTTGGTTTTTTAAAAAAATGGAAAAAGCCCACAGTGTCCAATAGCAAACAGCTTTTTACATGTTGGAGTGAAAAAAAAAAACCATAAAGCTAAAAAGGCCTTTTTTCCTCCGTAGTGTTTTTAGAACATAGGCCTCATGGATAACACAAGTTTTTTTGATTAAACACAGCCGAAAACTGACCAGCAGTGGAAGTTGCTTAAGATACGAGATATAGCCGGGCAGCAGCTCGCGGTTTGGACAGTAGTACCAGGCAAGTGTAACAATCAAAATAAAACCAGCCTTATGATCTGAGAAAACAGCGGTCACATATCTCCAAGGTTAAGAACAGGCAAACCATATGTAGACAATATCAAGTGGTGTGTCCGTGTTCTGCGTGGGGGCCGACACATACTGAGCCAAGACAAAAGAATCAACGGGTTGAAAAAATCCTGTGAAGGTTCTCAGGACAACACAACATGAATATTAAAACCCCAACAATAAGGACACGTCAATATTGCGGCATAATTTCAGCAGAAAGCTCAGAGAAATCATTTTAGGAGTCCTTATTGTATTTAGGAGGTCTATAGACCACTGCACTTGCACGTGTGAGAGCGCCAAGCTCGAACACGCTCAGTTCAAAGCCTGCAAGGAGAGGAGAATGACAAGCGATAGTTTGCCTGACATTTTTAAAATCACTCCCTGAAAACTGAGCTACTTCCTCCGCCTCGGCCCCGAAGTCCCGTGGAGAGTTTAAATAGCAGCAATCTGGAGGGTAAAAGTTCGTAAAGCGCTGGACTCCCAGGTACCGGAGCCATGTCTCAATGACGAAGAGGAAATCCAGTCCTTTTGAAAGTGAAGAACTCCTTAATGACAAAAGCCTTGTTTGTCAATGGATCCTGGCGTTATGAGGCCAAACCTGCGCCAGGAGCCAGGTGGGTCCGCGCCCGTCTGAGGTCCAGGGAGCCCGACAAATGAGACAGCACCAGGTTTTCCAGATTCACCCGCGCCTCCGGGACCCGGGACGAGGAGCAGGGGCCCGCGGCCGGCTGGAAAGCTTCGTCCGCGCGCCGATGACAGGTTACCAACGCAGGCCATTGAACAGGGTCCAAGATAGCGATGATGAAGAACAGGCGAGGCAAGGCGAGGTATTCAGTCCTTAAGATAGGACAAGCTGAAAATTCCTTTCATCCTCACCAGTCCGACCACTGCGTTCTTCCGCCGGCGTGCGGCTGCGTTTACGGCGGAGTGGAGCCGGGGTGCGGCACAGGGTAAGGTGGACTCCCATAGAACGGGGGGGGGGGCTTTAATGTCCCAGGATCCAAATTCACAGGATTTAATTCCGAAAAACGAAGATCCAGAAGTGTTTGGCAATCGTATACTAATAGAGAGTTGACATTTAGGGCAAAAAGTGACAAAAACAGCACAAACACACAACGCTCGCAGATACAGACGGCAGGCCACACACACTGGCGCCATCTTGGTCTTCCAACAAAAAAAGTAGAAAAAGATATTGATGTATGATGATTTAATAGCAGTTGTTTGGGTCGTGTACATTTTTGCCACGAAGGTGTCCAGAGGTAGTATCTGACACTACGTAAAAAATAATAATGCAGTCAAATCAATTTTGTTGCTAATCTTTGACACATCCAAGACTCTAATAACCACCAAAGTTCCATCCCTCTACTAATTATTATATTGAAAACAATTCATTTTTTGTGTTTTTTTTAAAAAGAGAAATTAAATAATTCAAATAATGAAACAGGCCTTTAAAGGGTTAACATCCTGAATATTATTGAATGTTTGGTAGTTTTGAGCACATTAGAAGTTGTTCAAGTGATTCATGGAAAAAAAAGTTAAAAAAAATATTGATGCATGATGATTTAATAGCAGTTATTATGGGTGTGTACATTTTTGCCACGAAGGGGTCCAGAGGGTGCAAAATGCATCACGAGAGAATACAAAACATGTAAGAGTAAACGACAATGGATTTCGAAAATTTGACTCAAAAGAAGACTTCTTGCAAAAATCCATGCCAAAAGCACAGCTGAAATGATCACCAAATCAAAAAAGAAAGTCAAGAAAATATTTACAAAAATGCCCGAGGAGGGAACAAGGGTATAAGATGCTTTTGTAAGATATGTTAAGTAAGCAAGTTGCTGACACATTAGCCATATCTAAACACCCTAATATTATCAATTGGAACATAATACCTTAATTCACAGGTGGTGGGTAAAGAGTGATTTAAGCCTCCTTACTCAAATCAGTGAGGCGGTAAAAAGATTTAACACATCAGCAGGCTAGGTTAATTGTTCAGCTTAACAATGGAAAGAAATCTGAATAGCTCCAGAACATTAATTTTAAACATAATCTGGTGCTTTCCCTCACCTCTGACATAGAAAAATAACCAACCACATCCTGGTTCATGCACTCTGGCCATTTAGCCCTTCCTCATCTGTCATATTGTCACCAATGGTCCTCTGTTAACCTTCAAGGCATTGTCTGGTTTTACATTGTTTGCCAAAAGCAAACATCTACCTCTCCATCAGGAAACATTTGAGTTTAAAGGAAAAGTGTCTCAAGTTTCAAACTTTCTAAGTCTTCCCCTCTGTGTTTGTGCATCTATCGTGGCCTTTTTTGTAGTCAAGATATATTTTTCACACATAATTTCCCATTAGGTCATACATTGAAGGTCTGTTGGTGGTTCCCAGAGTCAGAGCAGAGCGTTCAGCTACCAAGCTGCCTTTCTCTGGAACCAATTAATTAATTAGGGAGGAAGACAGTGTCGAAAAATGTTGGGACACATTGGACCTCCCTTCAAGTTTTGAAGACCATACTTTTGAATAAAGCCTATATTTAGAGGTGGTTTAAGATCACCCTGCTGTCCTACATTTAATGGTGTTTGTTTCTGTTTTCTATGGTTTTTTATGTATTTTTACTCTCTTTCTGTTGTATTTTACCTCGTTTATTCGTATTTCACGTTCTATCTTGTCTTTTTAACATTTCTTGTAATTTTATTTATCTTTTAACAATGTCATCTATGCTTTTTGATCTTTAAAGTGTTTTGTGATATTGGGCTATATATAAATAAACTATGATTTGATTCGAAAGAGATTATTGGGAAACCATGAAATAGATTCATGTAACTGTTAATGCTTTATGATTTGCAGGATATCCTTGAATATGTGTGATCATTTCCAAGTTTCTCTTAATCGTTAATCCTAATCTTTTCTTTATTTTTAGTTTCCTGGTTTGCCTTCGTGTGGTGTGAGGGGTGGTTCAGAGGGTTAGACGCTGCATATAAAGCCATGTGTTGGGCTGTGGCTGCAGTTGCCCCTGGTCTCACCTGCTATCCTGCAGCCACAGAGCCACAGGCAGCATGGCCTCGCCACGATGGGTACTGGCAGTCTGCGTTTCTCTATTCTCAGGTACCAATTACTCATTTAATCATTTGAATATACTTCAAATTTTCCAAGCAAAAAAAGTGTCGATGAACAAGACTATTACTAAATCAAAAATATACAATATCACCACATTTCTTCAAAAGAAAAAGCATAAATAGCTACATGATAAGGATGTTTTATTATTTTAGATATTTGTTGTTTTTTATGGTTGTTAACAATATCTATTTTGTCACATTTTACCAACTGGAGTAGGAAAAGTAAATCAGTCATCAGTGCCACATTGAGTGGGGAATTAAAAGAGGATATTATTGTACTTGATTACAAATTAGAGGTACTTGTAATCTACTATTATAGTATTTTAATTTCCCCCTTCTTTATATTTCTACTATAATGCAATTAAAAAGCAATTACCTTTTACTCAGCTAAATTCTTTGAAAGCTTTAGTGACGAGTTACTTTATAAATGAATAATTTAGACACAAAGATTATGATCATATTTGAAAACGTTATGCACTATTTTAGTTTAAACCACACAATGGTCAAATAATGTAATGGGCACACTTGATACTCTAAAGAAGAGCTAGGTTAAAGTACTTTCTAACTACCTGATACAGTACTTTCAATAAAGGACCTTTGTGTAAAAAGTATTTAATCGTACCACATCTCTATTTTGAATTAGCATATTGTAACAATAACCTGCTGTATCCATTAATTTGTGTTGAAATTAAATATTTAATTTTTTTTAAATATATATTTTGACTTCCACCTTGAAACCGTATTTCTCTCCTAGTGTTAGGCACCGGGGAATCGGTCACAACAACTGAAAGTCAGAAATGTGAGTATAAATGTATTATTATTATTGGATCCCAATCAGTTAATTATACATAAAACAAACTTAATTAATAAACAATTTTATTAGCTTTATTTTACAATTTTTTTTATTCACTTTTTTGTCAGTTGCTTTCTGGAGCTAGACACAGGACAATTTCACTGCATGTTTTACTCTGTAAGATTGTATATGTAGAAAACAAAACATTATTTGATTTGGTTTTTAATGACTTGTAGTGATAGTGAATTAGGTGGCTTGTCTATTTAGAATTGTTACTTAAAATCATCTTTTGTTATACAATACTACAAGAAAAGGAGCATTCACATTGTCTGTCATGTTAGAAGTCCTAAAACCTTTAGCAGGAGAAACACAATACATTTGGACAGTGATATTTTAAACCCTCCAGAAACATACAAGAAAAACTGAATGGACTTATTGCTTTATTATTGAGCTCCGTTAAGTCGTCGTTAATCAGTAACTTGTTCACAGACACTTGCAGGACTTTTGGCAGCGGCGTCGTCCAGCCTTTCAACGGTTCAAGTTTCTACGTTCGGTCCAACTGCATGTTCCTCCTCACCCACTTCACCCACCACCGGGTGGAGTGTGACATCACAACACGGCGAGAGGATGACGGGCTGCTGGCCCGAGTCGAGATCATCATCAACAAAGTCAGGACGGTTGTGCAGAATGGAAGCATCCTGGTGGAGGGGAAAAGGTTCGTGCCAAACCAAAACCCAGCCTGATCCTGTTTTATTACGCAAAGAAACTTCAGACTGTTTTGCCAAGGAAGAAATCATTCACTTAAATGGCTTTCATAATCAACCTTTACTGTGAGGTGACACTTTTATGCATTCCTATTGTTATTAATGTTAGTCAATTATTAGCTTTGACTTTGGGACTCTCGATTGTTAATAGTTTGTCTATTAAACAAATTGAGCCAATTGAATACCTAACTACTTTTATATATAAATCAATGAGGAAATAGGAATACATAACTTTCTCGTCAGTCAGGGGCACTGAAGCTGTTTAAGTCTAGTCTTAATTGTGTGGAACCTGTTTCCTGTATCTGTGCTGATATCTCTGTACATTCATTTGTTGACAGTGTTTCCCTTCCGTACGACCACACCTACCAGCATATCTTTCAGTATGGCATCTACACCAAACTGAAGAGCTCGCTGCTTCCTCTGTCCGTCACCTGGCACAATGTTCCCGGAGGAGTAGACACTCTGTGGGTGAGTTAATAACATTCAGCATGAACCCATAATCCTTGTTGTGGATTATTCACATGTATTTAAGGACTGCAGAACAATAACCTCAACCACTGAACCTTTATAAAAAACTTGTTGTTAAGGTGGAGTTGGAGCAGGAGCTAAGCACCGACATGACTGGACTGTGTGGAAAGCACACCACCCAAGGTATGTTGGTTAAAAGACAGATTTAATATACGTTTTTTAGCAGCAGTGCTTTTATTAGTAGCGGTATTTATGATGTTGTTAGGATATAAACTATAGTTGTATACCGAATAAGTACATTAAGCTGTATATCAAACGTTTCAATAAAGACAAAAAAACAAGTTAGACCACAGGTGAAAAATAAATGTTAATGTTAGTATTCTAATCATTATAATGTAGCTGATTAAACTAATGCACACATTTAGCTATTGCCAAACTTTGATGTTTTTATGCTTCGCTCTAAGAATTTACAACGTCCATGAAACCAGGAAACAAGCAGCAGTTGATCACAGAGAGCGAGCTCGCTGATGACACGTGTCAAACCCGAGATCCTTTCTCCGCTGTCAATCATGTAAGTAAACTGTTGCAAGGTCATATAATACCAGACCCCGTCCTGGGGAGGCCCGCCCATACAGGATTATGGCCCTGCCTGGAGAAGTCAGCATTATTATTGTCGACCATAAATAAATAATAATAATGTTGTTTCAAGATCAGTGAAGTTCACTGAAAAAGCATATATGTTACTTATGCTAATAATTATTCAGCAATAACTGTTGAGCCCATACCACCTATTATCTTTAACCTTGATCCGGCCCTCTGAAATCAAATGGCCACCCCTGCATTTAGGTCTGCCGCAGTGTCTGACAATACCATAATATATAATTGTTCCACATTTAAAGTGATTTCTCTCGTAATACTTGTAGGCATGCAGGGAGTTCTTTTCCTACACCCTGGAATGTCTGCTAGCTCAGACGCCTCATTATATTCAACTCTGTGAGGAGAACATTTACGGCTGCGAAACGAGCAAATACATCGGATGTGCTTTCTTCAAAGAAGTAGTCCAACAGTGTGGAGACAACAGCCATGTCTGGGACATTTGGAGAACGGTTACTCACTGTGGTAGGTGCTCTTCAAAACTAGATTTTGAAATTCTTTGAATTTGGACACTTGATGATATTGCCTGTTTCTGTGTGTTTATGTAGATGAGCCCAGGTGCCCCGGGAATCTGGTTTACGTAGAACTGGGTGCAGCCTTTGTTCCCAGCTGCTCCAATCGGAACCCAACCTCCTCCAACCAGGAACTCACCAGCTCCTGTGTCTGCCCTCAGGGTGAGCACTGTCTGACTTTAGGATGTAGCTCTTTACTTACATTAGCCTTTACAAGCCTAAAAGTTATACTCATTTGTGTTGTAGGTACGGTGCTCAATGATCACGAAGATAGCTACCAGTGTGTGAGTGTGTCCAGCTGCCAGTGTGTGTTTGCTGGTAAAAGCTACTCACCCGGAGACATACATAGCACTAAGTGTCAGTCATGGTGAGTGGGTGGAAAACTGTTTTAAAACATACAAATGATCCATGAGTCGCACATTATCTGTCGTATCTGTCTTTATTGATCAGCAGTATTTAGTATGCAATATATGGAGAAATAAATATGACAAATATTTTTGGATATGCCTACACCCCCTTTTACAACTACTGTGATTCTGTATGTATCCTGTCCTGAATTTTCCTTTACCTCACATTTTAATAAAATCATCAAATAATTCTGTCATAAAGTAATATGATAATAATTCTGTCATAAATAACTATTACGCTTTTACGGTTATATTGTGCCATAAGCTTGACTAAAGCACCACTTGCAAGTTATTTTTTAAGTTTGTGTTTTATGCAATAAAGCTAAATCAATAAATGTATATCCATTAAGTATCAAAATGAGGTTATTTGGATAGTGTAGTGTAGTGATATCATCGGTCTGAAGTTTTTACTGTGAGTTTTTTTCTCGTGTTTTTCCACAGTACGTGTGTCGATGGGAAATGGCAATGCTCTGAAAACCTCTGCCCCCCCATATGTGTAATCGAAGGGCAGTTTGTGACATCATTTGATGCCAAAAAATACGTCCTGCCTGGTAAATGTACATATGTGGCTTCACAGGTAAATATTTCCCACTTCCCACGTCATTTAACATTAACCCATGTTGTCTTTTTATGGTACTAACTTTGTTTTTATTTTCAAGGGTCTCTACTGGACAATAACAATAGAGTTTTCCAAAAAGGCACCCTCACTAAAAACTGTAATTCTTCAGCTTTTTCAGGTACTAGCACTCTTTAAAGTTGAATTTAAAATTCCACAATCAAACAATCAAAGAACACTGATGAACAGTCATTAAATATAAACACTCTTTCTTGGGTTTGCAGGAAACGTATACATTCTCTCAAAACAGGGTTCAAATTGGAGGGGAGACGATCACTGAACTTCATCAATCTGGTAAAATAAATTGGAAGAACAGTCGTCCATTTGATCTATTTAGGGTTCCCGTAATATGCCTGGTAACCTTGTTATTAATCCATAAAGGGCTTGTTACCAAACCACTGATAACTTACCGCCCTCTGTCACCTGTCAGATCATGCTCTGGTTTTCTGGCAGTCCTCCATGTACGTCCAGGTCGACACATCCTTTGGTATGAAGATCCAAGTCCAGATGTCTCCTGAAATCCAGCTGTACATCACCCCGCCCAAAGACCACACTGGCGTAATCTCAGGTTAGGATCTCAGTCTAAAAACAAGCCAAAATATATCACAATCTCCCAAAACCAAATACAAAATAGACATCCTTTACCCTCTGTTTTGTTATCCCATACCGCCTGTCTTCCAGGTCTCTGTGGCAACAACAACAACGACACCACAGATGACTTCACCAGCAGCAGCGGGATCATCGAGAACTCTGCTCAGCCGTTCGCTCAGTCCTGGAGCGTGGGGACTTGTGCAGTGAACATACCCCCCTGCATCAACACTGACAATGGTACCAATTACAAATGAGATACGTGTGCTTTTAAAATGTCGGAAACGTATAGAAATCCACACACATGGTTTATTTGTTTACCTGAATTCTGCTTTTTTTAGATTATAAGCTATTTTCAAAAGAAAATAGACATCAATGTTACATTTTGATAGTAGAAGAATCAAATGTGCTTTTTTTATATTTTTACAGAGATTTTCGCTGATGAGAAGTGCTCAGTGTTGAACGTCCCCACTGGGATATTTGCTAAGTGCCATGGTCATATCCCTACTAATCACTACCACATGGTAAAGGGCCTTGTGCACAAATTAAATCCTTATTATCAACATTTAATGGTTGTCGCCTGTTGTTCTTACACTGATTCTTATGTCCAGGCTTGCATCAAACGAACATGTAACTGTGGCAGCAGCTTGTCTCAGTGCCTGTGTGTCTCTCTGGGTAGTTATGCCAAAGCCTGTGCCAGTCTGGGTGTTGTGATTGGTGACTGGAGGAAAGCTACCAACTGCAGTGAGTTCAGCTTTGATAAAAATACCATTTATTCCATCTGCATTCTCACACTTTATTTTACACAGTCCACTGAGAAGAGCCAATGTAGTTGTAGTATGGTCACATTTTTTCAATTTCAATTTACTGATGACAATTTAAGTATGATTTCAACATCGTCTACACAACAGATGTTAATAAAATAAATGTAAATACACTTGCAACAACTTTTCACACTATGTTTATATTTTAGATTACTCTAACTTAATCTTGATGTTTCAAACTGTGCATTCTTTACATACTCCAAAGATACATATTTTTCTACTGTTGATATTTATATATTTACTGTTAATTTTTCATTTATTTTAATATTTTTGCAATCCTTTGTTTATATGCTGCTTTGACAAAACCCATTCCTAATTTAGGATCAAAAAAGTATATTTTATCTAATTTAATCCAACTGTGAATATAAAGACTTTACTATGTAAAGGAAAATGTCACATATTCATATTAATAGTATTAAATCAGTGCTGTATGTAATGTTAATCTCACTGTTGTGTCGCAGCTTTGAACTGTCTAAAGAACCAGGAATTCTCATACGACACGCAAGCCTGCAGACACACATGCCGCTCCCTGTCGGGCCCAGACCCCCGCTGCGGGCTGGACGACGCTCCGGTGGAGGGCTGCGGCTGTCCGGAGGGAACTCACCTGAACCAAGGAGACGTCTGCACCCGAAAGGCTGAGTGCGACTGTCACTACAACGGCGGGACGACCCCACCAGGGGCTGCTATTATCGACGGACGAAATTGGTGGGCATTTAAAACATAAATAACATTAATCATAACATTTTCACAATTGGTTGAGGCTTTATCAGAGCTGTTGCAGTGTGCTCAGTAGTCTACATCTATGGTGTAAACATGCTTAATCAAAGTTATTATCATGTGTTTATTCCAGCCTCTGTGTAAATGGAGAGCTGAACTGTTCCCAGGATTGTGGTAAATATATATCTCGTTTTTTTATATAATCACATTGAAATCCTACCTTTGTTACATGTGCCCCTTTCATTTTCATTCATTAGTAAAAAGTGTAACTTGACAGTGTGTGAATCTGCTTGAAACACAGGGTGCAGAAATGGAAAGGTTTGTGTGCATTGCAGCGAGTACCCTGTCAACACGGCTCAGAAAACCTGTGAGAGTCTCAGCAAACCAATGGTAGGTCAACAGATTATATCTTTATGCACAAGGCTTGCTTATTTGTGTCTTATAATTTATTCTACATTTTTTCTGACTGATAACCTGTAAAAAATGTTGGACGTATTGTTTTGTGATGAGCATTTACAAAAATCAATGTCAGTGACTTGCATCCCATACATTTACCCTTCTTTTCTTTTGATGGGGCAAACTTTGAGCCAAAAATATTTTGTATGTGATGACTAGGGTACCAATATGACCTGTGTGAGCGGCTGTTACTGCCCACATGACCAGTATGAGGATCACCGTGGACACTGTGTTTCTCTTGATAACTGCACCTGTGTGTACAGCGGCAAAGTATTCAGTGCAGGACAGCACGTCAGCACCGACTGTAAAACATGGTAACACTAGCTGCTTTTCTACTTGTTTTATTTATTAAAAAATTGTTGTTCCTTCAAAAGCTAATCAAGCCATGATGCAGAGGGTGAATACAAGGTTGTCATCACTCTGTGTTTCAGTGTCTGCGGTCAGGGTCAGTGGCTCTGCAGAGACGAGCCTTGCTCTGGGAAATGTCAGGTTTACGGCAACGGACACTACCAGACATTTGACTCCAACTGGTACCGCTTTGACGGACAATGTCAGTACACACTAGTAGAGGTGAGAACAAACACTGAAGATGGAATAGTATTTTCATGTGTCTTAGCTTTGTCGGCCTCTAATGCATCATCTGTCCATCATCCAAATACTATAAGACATTTAAACAATATGTAGAACACAGTGCCTTATTCTTCAATAACAATATGTTTTTCTTCTGCATTTGATTCAGGATGGCTGTGGAGATGAAAACAGCACCTTCTCTGTCAGAGTGGAGAGCGTCCCCTGCTGTGATGAGGCGCTCACCTGCTCTCGCTCCATCGTCCTCGACCTGCAGGTGGATGGCTTTTTCCATCATTTTTCTTTACTAAGACTTTTAAGTTATTGTTCACCTCTTTATTATCCATCTTTATAAAGAACTAAACAAAAAGTAAACACTAAGAACTAGGGATGGGTATCGTTAAGGTTTTAACGGTACTACTACTTTTATCGAAGCCGCTTATCGGTCCGGTCTTTTAACGGTACTCTTATCGGTTCTTTTGGAGAAGAGAAAAAAAGGTAAACGAACTAAACAAATTGTGAACAAAACTAACATTGCTTTTTATTTAAATTAAATACATAATATTTCACATCAAAAGAAACAACAATGGTTTAACAAATCATATTAAAGAATGTGATGACAGAACTGTAAACAGAATATCTGAAACTTTAACAAAATAAATAACTAAGTTTCCTCTAATCATTAACCCATGTTTGTATAATGTAGTTAACTCTGTGTGTTGCTGCTAGCATACACAATACCTGACGTGGAAAAACTACTCGTGGATGGGGCTACAGAGCTACTAGAAAGACAGTCGAACCCGGTGCATTCCTCCGTCTGAATGTGGTGCACTTCTGCTAAATGTTTAGACAAATTGCTCGCGTTACCGCCCTTACATGCTAAACTCTTATTGCACTTTAGGCGGGTAAAGTTTAACCACACCTCGGAGCGCGTTCCCTCCGCCATCTCCTCCGTGTGTGTGTGTTGCTGCATGTAGCAGCTGCGTGTGTGTAAACTGCCCCGCCCCCTCGCAAGCAGGTGGGGGAGAGAGAGATCAAAAATACTAAAAATAATTATGGACGCATTTTGCAGTCTTTTTGCATATTAGAAACGGAGTTGGCGACACAAAAACTGCAATATAATGTTTGTGTAGCAATAATACATAATATATATATTTTTTAGATGTCTCCAGTACCGATAAAAAGAGCGATAACGTCGGAGCATAACGGTACCACGGTCTTTAATAATTCAGCCCCGGGGCCCGTGTAATACCGGGGCTCGGTACCCATCCCTACTAAGAACTGGCACTAAAGAAGTTGAACTACAGACCTAATATAATACAGAAGGAATGATATTCAGCGATAGTCGAAATAAATTAAGCGCAGACAGGAAATGAAATATCTGAGCTGAAACAAAATGTGATCATTTCAAATGTCAAATACAACAAGAATCAATTAAACAACAAATTATTACAACCTTATATAATTCAGTTAACATAAATATGAATAATATGTTATTTAAAGCAATAAATGGTCGTGACGCAGCAGTCTGAATTTTCCAATACCATGAATTGTACCTGTGTTTTCATTAAAGGACAAAGTCACCCTGACACTGAGCGACATGAAGGTAACCAGACGCTACCACGAAGGCTGGACTCTGCAGGCAGACTCACTTTACTCCACACACACTGTCGGACTTTACATCATAATCTCTGTGCCGAGCAGAGGGATAACTCTCATCTGGGACAAACACACCCGCATCACTATAGAGCTGCAAGCACACTGGAGGGTGAGTGATTGTCACATTATCCTAAAAAAATGTATATTATGCACTGCTAAACACAAGGTTAACAATTCATGTTTATTGATTCATATATAACTAGCTCGAGTGAACTGTAAAACTTAAGCGTACTTGAATTTGTAACCATTTTATTTGCAGAACCGAGTCCGTGGCCTCTGTGGAAATTTTGACTTCAATGAGATGAATGACCTACAGATAAGTGGCTCAGCAGGTAGACTGGTTCCTCTTTTTTGTAAAGCACTTTTACTTTTGATGTTTGTCAGTCTAACATTAGAACAAATCTATTTTTTTAGTGGTGTCCAGCCCCTTGGCATTTGGCAACAGCTGGAAAGTGGCCACCCCTCCCTGCTCGGATGTGACAACAGAGATATTTCCGTGTGAACGCAACTCCTACTGCGCAGCCTGGGCCCAGCGGCGCTGTATGATTCTGACAGGAGACACCTTCAGTGAATGCCACCTCAAAGTACGCATTTCACATATTTAGCATGACACCAGGATCAATAGCTGGATACCTGTTCATGTCTTTAATTGCTATAGAATCAAATGTTTTGCAAGATAACAAATATATTACTATTTAAAGTAATAGGGGGCGCCCTTTTATTAAAAACTCAACAGGTGGATCCAACTTCCTTCTACCATGCGTGTGTGCAAGAGTCCTGCTCCTGTGAGTTTGAAGGCAAGTTCCTGGGCTTCTGCACGGCCGTGGCAGCGTACGCAGAGGCCTGCAGCGACCACGATGTTTGTATAAATTGGAGAACACCTGATTTGTGTCGTAAGTAAAAATCATTTTTCACCCACAGAAATTTGAATTTTGCGCGCAATAGAACTGACACATAAATTAATCAAACTTTTTCTATCTAACTATCCATATGATGAAAGGTTTGTTAGATACTGTAATATTAGAAATGTGTAAAACTTTAACCTGTGATAATTTAAACCTTAGCGGTCTACTGTGACTACTACAACGAGCAGGGCATGTATAGCTGGCACTATGAAGCCTGTGGAAAGATGCTAACCTGCGGCAAAGACAACTACATCACTCACAAACTGGAAGGTAACAGGACCCATAATAGTATTCAAATATAACAGCTTAACACAATTCTTAATCATGTGATTTCTGAATCATACTTATTTGTTCTTATTTAGGCATTATTGCAAACAAACCCCGCCTCACAATTAATATATCTATTGAATGTTTTTTTGCGCCTATAAAATAAAAATGATGTGTATTTTCCAAAAAAAGGCTGCTACCCCAGATGTTCAAAGGAGGAGCCATACTTTGATGAAAATACTGGTGAATGCACTACATTGAGAAATTGCACCTGTGACTTTAATGACGCCATCCTTCAGCCCAGGGCAGTGGTGATGATACAGTCTGTTGAGTGGTAAGTTGGAACATTCTTAATATAAATATAGTATGTTCAAATATGTAAATGTTCAAGATAAACATAATATGAAAAATTGTGCACTTTTCATAACTCATTGCATTGATAACTAGATTTTTCTAACTCTTTAACATTGTGTTTGTCAGCTACTGTGAAAATGGGAAAATGAATTGCCGTAAGTATCAATTAAAGTAATTCACCATTAAATGTATTATTTAATTTGTCAATTAACTGCTATTAAAGGTGGGGTAGGTAAGTTTGAGTCACCGGCTCGAGATACACTTCTTTTTATATTCCATGGAATGCTCTTAACATCCCGATAGCAATGAATATCTGAAGTGCTTTGACAACAAGTCCATAAAAAAGTATCATCTGTGGAAGCCGTAGTACTGTAAAAAGCACGACCAATCATTTTAGCCGGCCCGGCTAAAATAACTGGATGGCCTACCTGCCTGTCAGCCTTCCATCTGTGCACAAACGTAGCTCGTGCCCTCATTGGTCATGTGCACGTTCCTGTGTGTTGGAGGAGGGGCTCTGTAAGGAAGTGGCAGATTTTTTTCGGCTGTGTATTTTCAAATTCTCGCGCACTCAAGCTGGTTTCTCCAAAATTACCTAACCCACCTTTACAAGGAAAAAAACCATTTGTAGCAATCAGTTTTCTCGAAGATTTAAATTACAGTAAATTCAACTTTACAGAAACAAAACACCAGACCACAATTCCACCTCTTTTACCAACAGCACCTCCACCCACCACACCTGCCACCACCACCACTTCAACTACAACTGAAACAACTGTGTTTTCCACCACCATTACTACACCACCAACTACAGCAGTCTTAATTACGACTGAATCATCATCAACAACACCCCGCAGCACCTCCTCACCAATGACAACCACTACCAATTTCTCAACTACCACTGGAGATTGGTCAACCTTGCTTTCCACCACTGCTACACCAACAACTACAACTGTCTTAACTACAGATGAAACATCATCAACAACTGTGCTTTCCACCACTTCTACACCAATATCATCAACTGCCCTAACTACTGCTGAAACATCATCAACAACTGTGCTTTCCACCACTTCTACACCGATATCATCAACTGCCCTAACTACTGCTGAAACATCATCAACAACTGTGCTTTCCACCACTTCTACACCAATATCATCAACTGCCCTAACTACTGCTGAAACATCATCAACAACTGTGCTTTCCACCACTTCTACACCAATATCATCAACTGCCCTAACTACTGCTGAAACATCATCAACAACTGTGCTTTCCACCACTTCTACACCAATATCATCAACTGCCCTAACTACTGCTGAAACATCATCAACAACTGTGCTTTCCACCACTTCTACACCAATATCATCAACTGCCCTAACTACTGCTGAAACATCATCAACAACTGTGCTTTCCACCACTTCTACACCAATATCATCAACTGCCCTAACTACTGCTGAAACATCATCAACAACTGTGCTTTCCACCACTTCTACACCAATATCATCAATAAGCTGGGGTTGCGGCGAGATGTGGACAGAGGACTGCTTCGATAAGAGCTGTAGGGAGGGGAAGATAGAGTTGACTCCAGTGGTTTGTCTAGAGTCTTCAATGCCTAAATGCCCCAGAGACCAGGCCACACAAGTCTGGGATGGATGCTGTGAAACATGGAAGTGTGACTGTAAGTTGTCTGTCTCTGCCACTTTTCTTTTCTCTAAATCAGCATCAAGACATTTAGCTCCCAATTCCTTTGGTTCATCCACACTGATGTCCATCTGTCTTTATAACAAAATGCCTATTGAGGCTGTATTCAAGGAATTATAAATGCTTAAGTCAGGATGCTATCATACTCCTACAAGCTTAACATACTAACATTTTGCAATTTCTGTTTCCTATGGTTACCATCTTTCTTTAAAATGCTAACTTTTACTTAGTACTGAACCACAGTACAGGTAAGACTGGACATTTTTCCCAGGTTTTTGGTTATTATATCCCCAAGATTATTATAATAAAATTGCAGTCCATTTAATAGTTGTTCAAATGTTTTAGTCTTGACCAAAGCGGTGAATTGATGTGCCAAAAATGCCATCCCTAGAGCCATATGGGGCTAATTTTGAGAAAAAAATATTAAAATCCCATATTATGTTCCCTAGGTCGCTGTGAGCTGTATGGGGATCCCCACTACATCTCTTTCCAAGGAGTAACCTTTGATTTCCTGGACGAATGCACCTACCTTCTTGTTGAGGAGCAGTCAATACATTATAATCTGACCATTGCTGTGGACAACTTTGCCTGTGTGGAAGGCCTCCCGGGCTCGTGTGCTAGAGGCATCATCCTGAAATATCAGAACAGTACAGCTACACTCAGTATCCTTCAAGATATGTTTCAAGTACAGGTAGGATATATTTGTATTTATTTATACACATAGTACGACATTTCACCATGATTAAGCTACAAGGATGCTGATAATCTGCCGTTCCCTTTTGAATAAGAGAGGTTGTTTGATGTTGATCTTATGTGCACTAGGCCACTCTGAACAACGTGACCATACAGCCACCATATGAGGAGCCTGGGTGGAGGTTTGAGACCACCGGATATGTAGTGTCAATCTTCCTCCCAGACCTGCGCTCTTATGTCTCCCTCAGTCCGTCTTACACCCTGGTGGTCAGTCTGGCCATGGAGCATTTCCTCAACAATACCCAGGGACAATGTGGTGGGTTATGGATTGAAAGGGAGTGGATATGAGAACCATAGATATGTGCTAACGTGGCTACAAGCTATACACAGTGTGTTTATGTTAATTCCCACCTCGTCATCTTCCCCAGGAGTGTGTGGTGTTGGATCATGTGTCCGTAAAGGAGGGCAGATCGAGGATGACAGCTGCTGTAGTAAGACGGCCAATGACTGGGTGTACCACGACCCCCTCAAGCCCGCCTGTGCTTCTGCCCCCAGAGACGTACCTTGTATCTCACCCAGTACAGTACCCACAATCCCACCCCCTACCCCCTGCCCTGCTAGCCCACTATGTGAGCTGCTACAACACCCGTAAGCTCAACACACTAACACACACAGTCGTTTTTTTGTGTCAGAATTAGTGGTAGAATTGGGATTTAGTGTGATCTACTAAACACCTATTGCCACTTGTACCAGTGTTGCATATATTCTATACCACTCTGGGCTGACTGTCTTTCTGTGTATGTCGTGACATGTTGTATATTACATATTAAAAATCTAATCTGTTCTGTTTTCCCAGAGTCTTTTCAAATTGCACACATGTGGATCTGGTCCTTAAAATGAAGAACTGCAAGTTTGATTCATGCAGGAGTGGTCCGTGCGCTTCACTAGAGCAAGCTGCTGAGGAATGCGATGATAATGGGTGTATTGACTGGAGAAGCCTAACCAATGGGACCTGTGGTATGTATCTTTTAACCTTTTTCTTATACTGTAAAGCAATACCGGTCAGTCTAGAGACCTTATATATTTGCAAACATGAACATGTGTTTTGTAGACCTGACTGTAATGATTTTTTGATGAAAAGTGCCAATGATGTATTCAGGGACACTAACGTTAATAACTTAATTTCTTCTGTTCATGTTTCAGATGTGCATTGTGACGCGGGATTGGTTTACAGAGAATGTCAAAAGAAGCCGGATGGATTCTGCCATGGAGGGTTTGTTTAGTTTACTCTAAAGGGGCCCTGTTATGCTTTTTGGGGTTTCCCTTTCCTGTAGTGTGTTACAAAGGTTTTTTTGCATATAAAAAGTCTGCAAAGGTTCCCTCCAGAGTGAGTTTCTCTCCCACACACCCTGCCTGAAACGCCTGAGAAAAATAAATCACTTTTTCAAACATTAAAGTAAACATGTCACAGTAGAGGCACAAAATACAAATATTAACTTGAAATTGAACTTAAAGGTGGGGTAGGTAATTCACTTCAGAAACATTTTATGTTATATTCCATGGAATGCTCTTAACATCCTGATAGCAATGAATACATTAAATGCTTTGACAATAAATACATACAGAAATGTCATCTGTGGAAGCCGTGGCGCTGTAAAAAGCACGACCAATCATTTTCACCGGCCCGGCTAAAATAACTGGATGGCCTAACAGCCTGTCAGCCTTCCATCTGTGCACAAACTTATCTCGTGTCCTCATTGGCCATGTGCGCGTTCGTGTGTGTTGGAGGAGGGGCTCTGTAAGGAAATCTGAAGGAAGGGGCAGGTTTTTTCCGGCATCGTACTTTCAAATTCTAGCGCACTCGAGCTGGTTTCTCCATTCTTACCTACCCCACCTTTAATAGGGCAGGGCCCCTTTCACCAAATAACATCCTTACACTTGTTGTGACTTTTATATCTCTTCTATTTGTTTCAATCCTGCCGATATTTCCATTATTTATATTTCTCTTTTGGTTTTACAGAGTACGTTATCAAGGTGACACCACTGAGAACTACATTGGAGGCTGTTTTTGTCCCATTGGCCAATCCAGAGCAGGAAATCATTCATCCACCTGTGTGTCCGACTGCCACTGTGAGTACACTGACCTATAAGGCTGACCATCACACCTAGGTGTTTTTGTTGTCATAACTACTGATAATATAGATTTTCTCTTCCATCAGATTGTACAGGACCACTTGGTGAGCCTAAAATGGTGAGTTTCTTTGTCTCAACAGTGCGAAAAAAGTAGTATCTCTGACTTTAGATCGAATTCTACATCTAAAAAGTATTCCTCCACCTGTCTTGCAGCCTGGTGAGGAGTGGCTGTCCGGCTGTAGCTGGTGCACATGTGACAAGCAGACTCTCAAGGAGGAGTGTCACAATCTTACTTTTTCAGCTCCCCTCTGTAGCAGCACTGCTGTACTGGTAAACAAAACTTGCTGCGGTGATCATCAGATTTGCGGTAAGCACTGGCACGGAATTTATTAGATTTTACTTATGTTCAAAACAAATAACACACTTTTACTTATTTGTTCAGTTGAGAAGACATGCAGTTATCAGGGGAAAACATACAAGGTTTGTTGCGTCTTATCTTATTACATGCTCTATATGACAAAGAAAAGTGTTTATTCTGTATTTTAGATTGAAATGAATGATGTCTTCTCATGGTTCCTCTCTTTGTGTGTAGATGGGAGACAGGTGGACGGATGCCTACCATCCCTGCACGTCATTTAGTTGCAGCAAGGATGGAATTCAGACTGTGACTCAAGTCTGTCCTACAGAAGAGTGTCAGGAGGTACTACACACAGCCTGTAATGTGCCTTAAACTCATCATTTTACAAGCCTTATTCCAAGTAGCAACTTAGGTATTACTGGAATTTCCACAGGCTAAACCATTATTTTACAGTAACAAAAATACAAGTTTTTCATTAACATTTATTGATTGTAGAAAGCAAGCATTGTTTTCTCACAAAAGATAAATAAAAACGGTTTTCTTCTTACTTTTAAGTAGTACATGAGATGCCTTACAAATGCATACAAAATCTAAATGGACTAAAAGAGCTTGTTTACCCAAAAAGTGTGAGGGGAGTATCCCACAGACACCTCAGCAGAGGTCTGGGCTAAGCCTCAAATGTCCTTAAATCCTTGAATCACCCCCGGGTCATATAAATTAATTATTTGCTTTTTAATGTTTATGAATTTGACTTGATAAAAAAACAATAATATTTGTTATTTAATGGCCCCTGGCCTTCTGTCATCTAATGCAGCAAATGTGGCCCATGGGTTTACCAAGTGAAAAGAGATTAAACATTTGGAATAAAGCTGATTTAAGCCATTAAGTGATTCAATATAAGTAGAACCACCGCCATTTAACCTTGAGCTGTTGTGATTTATTCACCAGGAGGACAGGATTTGGGACGACCAGCACTGCTGCTTTACATGTAAGTTCAGTGAAACTCAAAAAAAGATGGAAGTCATTTATAATTGAAGTCTCTTGCAGTGTGTAGTCACTTTTAAGTTAAGTGATGTGATACTTTCCTGCAATCAAAACTTGATAAAGAGGATGTATCTTTAACTTTTGATTAACTTCTTTTGCCTTCAGGTAACCAGACCTGTGCTCCGAACATGACCAGCCTTAACCTAACAGTAGACAGCTGTGTTGCCGTCATAGAGATGCCTGTGTGTCAGGGCCAATGTGATTCTGAGCCCAGGTAAGAGTTAATATACTTGTCACTGATGAATAGCCAGTGCAGTGGCCATTTAATAAATGTACATTGTTCTAGCTCACAAAGCAGATATAAAATCTATATATAAAATCTATATATAAAATCTATATATATATAAATACAATATGCTCTTACTACAGTATATAGTTTAAGAGCACCAACACCTTATGCTTTGTAATATATCATACTTTTCAACATTGTAATTCTGCTAGTAAGTCCCCATTTAAAAGAAAAAAGTAACAGTGATCAGATTACGTATTTTTTTATATAAATATAAGGAAATACAGTTACCATTTTTAGTATTCTCATTCATTATCCTGTTACATGTAATCCATGAATCCCCAAGCATGCAAATAGAAACACTTATGACAGCCAATCAACACATTCCTAGGTTTTTCTTCATTTTTTCCTCCAGTCCTCTGTGTAATCAACTCTTTCTCTCTCCCCTCCTTCTTACTTACTCCCTCCACCTGTCCCAATCCCTTTGCTTTTTGTTCCTCCACACACAGGGTGGTGTTACACAATGACCTGCAGGTGGAGCAGCAGAGCTCCTGCTGTGTGGAGAGACTCTCTGAGAGGAGATCAGTGACCCTGCAGTGCTCTGACCTCACCACCAGGAGCTACAACTACACGCACATCACCAGCTGTGATTGCAGATACTGTATTGTAGTACTGTAGTAAAGCATACTTTTGAGGGGCTCTTCATTCCTGCTACTTCATACTTATATACCACTAGAATTCAGAGGCAAATTCTGTATGATTCACTCTATCCATTTACTTGATAACTTTAATTTAGTTGGAAGATTCAGATTTATAAAACGGAATATAATCAACAAATAATGTTTTATGTTTTATTTTATGATAAACTTTATTGAACCCTTAAAGGTGGGGTAGGTAAGTGTGAGAAACCGGCTCGAGATACCTCCCCCAACGAGGCGTTGTGGGGAGGTATTTTCTGTGTTAGAGTTTTACTCCTACAGGGTGTACTTTGAGGGTTTTCACTCTGCAGACCGTTTACATGCAGAAACCTTCATAACACACAAGGCTGCCCTAACTACTGCTGAAACATCATCAACAACTGTGCTTTCCACCACTTCTACACCAATATCATCAACTGCCCAAACTACTGCTGAAACATCATCAACAACTGTGCTTTCCACCACTTCTACACCAATATCCACAACTGACTATACTACCAATGACACAACTCTATCTCATAGTACCACTACACTAACTACTACAACTACTAGAGCTTCGACAACTCCAGGTATATGTCAAGTATTTGTTGCATATTTTTCTCTTTTTATCAGTTAACTAAGCAGTCAGATCCTTAAATTACCCCAACTGTGTTTTATCAATTTCTAAATTCACTGTCTTTAAGACAGTGAATTTAGAAATTGATAAAACACAGTTGGGGTAATTTAAGGATCTGACTGCTTAGTTAACTGATAAAAAGAGAAAAATATGCAACAAATACNTTCGATTAATTAATTACAAAACCTCTAATTAATTAGATACATTTTTGTAATCGAGTCCCGGCCCTAATATATATATATATATATGTATATATAGCTCGCATAAAATCTTTGTATGTCGGGGGCGGGAGATTCATGTGATTGGTTGTTGGTCGCGTTGCTCGCAAAAAATCCCCAAGCTCTCAGACACGCCCAGCTTCAAGATTTTCAAGATTTTTTCAAAGCTGCTGTGTGGACGTACCGTTACAGACCATTTACATGCACAAAAACCCACTACATAAAAGGCGAAAACCCCCTTAAACAAAATTGGGCCTCTTTAAGTCACACATTCTGACAAAGGAACATAACTTTCTTTAGCATGTTGGTATTGACATTTATTGACATAAAAAGAAAAACATCCATTTTAACCAGTATGTTTTCTCTGTGAGGTTTTTCAGTCCAGGCATCATGTGCATTTACAAGTCAATGTTTTGAGTGTTGTGAACATGGGATCATTGGTAGCCCATTTCCTACTGTCATAAAAGAGGGCAAAGAAATACTGGTAGCGAAGAAGAGGTCAAACATCGATTTCCGCTTGAAAATCCAAGTAAACTTTGAGCCTAATTCAAGAAACATATCTAGATCAGTTTCAGTTTGTTTGAGACCACACCTCAGTTTTGTGGTCCATCAGTTTCTTTGTTTTTTTTTGCTTTTTCATCTAACTTATTGTCCTCTGTGAATTGGTCCCCCTGTGCTTTATTCTCCACACAAACCTTGTCTCTTAGGTTCTCTTCTGACTCCAGCCCGTGCATCTCTATCGTTACTTCCTCACTTAAAGGAGGAGTGAACTCAACAGTGATGTCTGTCAGGGGTGTGAGCTGTTGCCTCTCCTTGGTGATATTTGTGGAGTTGAGTCCGCCATCGAGCAGCTGTTCCTTTCTGTCACCCTCCTCCAATTCTGTCGTGACTCTTACCCAGACTTTGGGACTTTTGGGCTGATCCGCTTCTTGAAGTTCAAGATCCTTTTTCTTTACAGGTTTCGTTTTCCTTGTCTCTGCTTCTCGCTCTGGTTTCTTATACTGTCGTCTGAGGAGGACGATGACGGCAATAATGAAGAAGTAGGAAGAACCGCTGAGACACGTGAGCAGACCCAGGAAGATCGTCCTGAAGATAGTGAGAGAAGATGGACTAAATTAAAAGGTAGTAAAGGGAAGAAATATGTATTGCATTGGTGTTGAAGAAACAACCATTTGTAAATTAATCACATTCTATTTCCTCGTTTGGCGTACCTGTACATATCAGAGTCATAAAAGCGACATGCTCCCCTGCCCCCACACCTTTTGACCGACCACTTTAGGCAAGTGGAATCAATCAGGGCGCCGAAGTACACAGGTGCAGGAAGTCCACCTACGGACAAGGTAATGCCCAAAGTGAGAGTCAGAGTGAAATATTCTGTCCTTTTTTCACATTTCCCATCTTAATTTGACTGCCACACACAAACTAGAAAAACATTTTATTTGTCAGAGAATAGCTTGATTTTTTTCAAAAAATGTACAAATGTTTTTAAAGGAGATAAGTCTGAATTTTAAAGGAATAAATTTTTTTTTAAAAAGAAATCTTACCCAGAGTCCTTGTTACCAAGGCCTGGATACCCAGCGCAAGGGATTTGAGCTCTGGTGAGATGCATCTGAAATTACAAAACAACACCAAATTGCAGACCATTTACATGCACAGAAATATATATAACACACTATAGAAAAGTGAAAACCCCAAATAGCCTAATAGTAAAAGTAAAAATATGCGTATAGTACTACAATATATGACGTGTTTATTACAACAGACACAGTGGTGTATCAGCATTACTAAGAGATTCATTCTGAATTGCACAGTTTAATAGGGTTTGGCTGCTGACGGTGTCTGAATGAAAAATATGAAGCTATAATTAGAAGGCTTACGTAGACTCAAATCATAAAAATTACGCAGTAGCACTTATTTCCCATATTATCATGATTCCCTGCTCTGAAATGGGTGCACCGACCGTATGATGACCATGTAGCCAGGCGTGGCTCCCAGAGAGTTGATGAAGGAGCTGAGGACGGACACAGCCATGTAGGACGTGAAACTCCGGCTGCAGTCTTTAGCATGAGGACACTGACCCAGCCGCACTGACGTGCTGCTGCCGGCCGGGAAGGAGGCGGACACACAGCTGCAGTTGTGAAAGACCTGGGAGAGAGAGACACTGAGATGAAGCGTGATGACTTACTGGAAACCATGTATTTATAATTTGGAGAACAGAAAAATGTATGCAAATAAAATGTATCATACATTTCAGTCACTCTCAAGGGCGATAAAAGGACCTTTGAGCATTTTGTAACAATGTAGTGACCTTGGATAGAAACACATTGGATATGTTGCTGAATAAACTGCCTGTTGCTGTTAAGACATACAATAAACCTTTGTGAAAATGTTTTATAATATCATTAAAATAGGTGAAAAATGGGATAAAGTAAAAAAAGGCTGAGGAACTTATTATTGTCAAACACTTAATAACAATAATAAAATAATATGTGTTTAAAATGTCAAATAAATAAAATAAAGGTAGTAACTGAGAAAGATATATTGTAAGTGCTTTGATAAAGTAAATATTTCACATAGATAGAGGAGAATTACTAGAGAGGATGAAATGGGAGAGATCTTGGTGTGGCTGCTGAGGAGTTTTTCTGTGGAATTAGTCTTGGGAGATGGCAGTAATACTGCATGATATGGAAATTATAATTGTTTTTTAAAAGAAAAAAAAGGATAATTTCCCTGTGTGCATCCCTACTGTGTTCTTGCCGTGACCACTGGAGCCGATGCAGCCTGCCATACAGGGAGAAATGTAGGTGATGCCGCTGTCTGAGCACACAGGGTCCCACTCCTCTGCTGAACAGGAACAGTCTCTGTTACACTCTGAGAACAGCATGCTTCTGTCAGATGATATACCCTGCGTCCTGATGGGCAAAGAGGGTTTATATTTTATATATTAGCTGCAAATAAAATCTGAATAGTAACTTGAGGCAGTCAAAATAGTTCCTAGGGTCCATCATTTTGGTTCCTGATCGTCTTTATATACCCTCAGCACTGACCCGTTGTATGAGATGGTGAGCCCAGCCATGGGGATGTTGTCACACTTGGTGCCGAACTGCAGCAGCAGGAGGAGGTAGGCGAGGAAGGAGGTGGCAAAGGACATCTGAGCTCCTGACACCACGCTCAGTTTATACCGCTTCATCAGCAGCCCTCCCAGGAAGATCCCTAAAGCCACCGCCGGCAGGTTCAACACACCTAGAAGAAAAACCACACTGGACACTGGTTTCCCTTATCCACTGAATGTAGTTCTGTTCTACTTCTGTGCTGCTTGGTTCAAACTATTTGTTTAACTTTGTAAACAACTTAAGAAACAGTTTGCTTTTCCACAGACCAAACCCGAGCCACTTCATGACGTCACCGATTATGTTGATGCTTTTCTTAGCAATGCCAGTGTTAATATCCCACACGACTGCAACAATGACGGATCAGCAATGTTCCTGTAGCTCCTTTTCTTACAAAGCCAGATTGAATCGAACAATGACTCCTGCAATGTTTTACTCTTCTCCAGAGTGGTGTGGAACCTCCTAAGGAAGCAAGTCTCTTCATATCAGACTCTTGAACTTTATCTAAAGACACTAGCCAGGTTTTCATCCAAATGTATAATTTATTTTTATTCGGCAAAAGAGAGAATGCAAATTAATTGTTTTTCAAACCCACAACCAGTATGCGATTTTAAGAGAATGTTCATTGAGGTGAGCAGTAGGTGGTGCCATTTGTCAAGTCGGATTGCAAAAGAAGATCTTTTGAAAGAGTCTGACGCAAACGGTGAAAAACAATGTATAGACTGGATCTGGAAACAATTATTCATGTCATTAGCAGAGCAACAATCTTTAGTGGTGGCATTATTTGTTTGCTACAGCTGTTCCTTGCACTTTGTCATAATTTGCTTTTGTCAAAACAACAACTTCTCCAACTGCTCCACTTGTTACTGTTAGACTACACTTTAGCATTTACTGCTAACCCATAAATCTTATGTTTGACATTAATCAGCAATAATCCCTTGTGGGAAGAGCAGAGATGTAAATATGAGAGTTTATCTACAGATAGCATCTAAATATACACATTTTCTTTTTGTTTTACCTATGAGGAAGTTGGCTCTGGAGGCAGACTGTCCAAACTGCTGTTCCATGTATTTGGCCTTGAAGGTGAACAGGCCAATGAAGGAGTTGAACTTCAGGATGCTCCCACAAAGGAGCAGGAAGTAGGCAGGAGTTCCCAACAGGCGCTTCAGCGAGGGGAGAAACCCTGTTGAAATACATCTTTTAAAAAACACAAGCAAAGACCATAAACCTGCACACATACTACCATTCTGAAGAATACCGATTTGAAATGTAATATTAAAAGTATACAAGAATTCTCTCAACCTTTGGCGATGTCAGTCATCTTGATGGCGTGATTGTTGTCGGAGGCATCCTTTGTCACCTCTATTGTCTCACGTGAGGAAGTCAGCTTGCCTTCATCTCCCTCCTGCTTCGGCAGCATGCGGGGCAGGAACCAGAAGGGAATGCTGGAGAGGAGCAGGAGGACGGAGGACACCATGAAGCCCAACCACCAGGCCCCCACCCAGCGGGCATCTTTAGGGGTGATGGCCACACTTTCTGGGTGCCAGAAAAGAGCATTTGAGTGAGCAGGAGCAGGAAGTTTAATTCTTCACTTCTTACAAATGATTTACTAGTTAGTTACTTTCCTTGGGTGAAGTGAAAATAGTGGAAACCCAATTTTATTTCAGGGGTAGGATACTTGTCACACTTTAGGTGGACTGATTGTCTTTGTTTGACAAATAAATTAGTTCAAAGAGACACTCACTAACCTGTTCTGAAAAACCAAAGAACAACAACTT